TTTTTTTGAATGATGATCTTGTTTTTTTGGTAGAGGCAGTTTATATTTGGTTGTTAGTATTAACAAATTTTTTTTATTGTTGATAGCGCCGAATTGAAAAGTTTGGTTGTTGGTTGTCTTCATAGAACTATTTCTTCATTGTTTAATTCAACATCACTTTTCTCTTTGCATTGGTGGGTATTTGAAATAGGCAACAATAAAGAATATTTGAGAGATAATTGATCAATAGAGAATGACATGGATAAATGATAAAAATAACTTTTGAGATTGAAGTTCAATAAAATTTTCATTCCCTCGTCAAGTAATACTATTTTCTCATGAAATAAATCATAAAATCTTATCAAATAATATGTTGTAATAAATGTGATTAAGTTTTTTTCTTAAGATTCTTCTAAGAGGAATTGTCATGTTGACTATCAATGAGAATATACAATTTTCGAGAGGAATTCTTCTTGAGAGAGTGAGTACACGAGAGCTTGTTTGAGAGAGAAATTCTTAGAGAGCTCTACTTTGTAAAACCGAAAGGGCCAATCATTAACGCCTTTGCAAATGCGGCCATAGAAATAATTTTGAAAATTGAACGCATATTGTTGATTACATGAACAAATACATCTTTCGTTTAATCGTTTAATCAACGTATGATGCAGCCATAAACTCTAATGCCAATTGATACATAAAGATTTAAGGTTTAAATTTTTAAATGTGGGTATATGCAAATCATGAAAGAGAACTTGAGCAGTCTTAAATTACAAACCGACAATTTACTTTCTTTGAATACAACAACAATAACAAACCTTTATCCCAATAAGTGGGGTCAGCTACTTGAATCCTTTTTCTCCATTGCGTCCAATTGAGTGTCATTTTTTCCATTTAATTCTAATAATTCTAATAGATTATGATCATTTTTTATACAATTTGCCCAAGTCTTTTTAGGTCTAATTTTGCTTTTCTTAACATAAGTCGAATCTAAAACATCTAATCTCTTAATAGGATCATCAGATGCTCGTCGTTTAATGTGAACAATCCATTTAAGATGACTCTCTCTAATTTTGTCCGCTATTGGAGCTCCATCAACCCTATCACAGATATATTCATTTCATGTTTTCTCTCCAAGTGTCAAGTCAATCATCCACCTAAGCATCCTCTTCTCAGCCACACTTAACTTTGTTTTATCGTTCTCTTTTAAAGGCCAACATTCTGCTCCATAGGCCAACTTTCTTTGAATGTAAATGATAATTATGAGAATTAGAACCCTAAGAAATAATGTAATGATCAAATTTGGCGCAGCTGCAGTTGTGCTGCCCCAAGAAGTTGTTGTGGGGAAGTTGCTGTGAGGAAGCTGGTTGCATGTTTGGGGCAGTTGTGTGAAAACAACTGTGGGCAGCTGTTTCTGTAAAAATGATCATTCTACCTCTGTTTTGTGATGTTGTGCGTAACAGAACTGTGATAGCCATAAATTTAATATTTTTAAAACAAAAACTAAAATTGTCGGTGCTCTATAATGTGAATGATTTGGTTGGTATAAATTAAAAACTAAAATTTAGCCGTTAGACAAGTAAATAATTATATGTTAACGACACTCAACTAATCAATTCAGAATATTCAATCAAATATTATAATTTGTCAAAATAATAAAATGATAAACTTTTTCTCAAAATAAAAAAATAAAATATAGAAATTATCAAAATAATAAAATGATTGCAAGTCACCTATATAAGTAACTCCACTAAAATTTTTTCTTAGCTCCAAAACTACCAATGTTAGCCACCAGCGCACCATACATAAATTTGAAAGGTGCATATGTTCCTCTTAAAATTGTCTTCTAAGTTCAATCATTCAATTATCACAACAACTACATAACTATCCTGTAAATATTGTTGACAAAAATACTTCATCAATCACTCCACATCCTTTTCAATAAATAATTTGGAATTCATTAGAAAGGGAATTCATTAGAAAGGTATCTCAATTGTTTTATTCAAATATCTTCAAATCTCCAAAAGAATTATTCTATTCAAATATTTCTTTACCTCCAAAAGTTAAAAGATGTCTCTTTAATCCAAAGCATTTATGTTTGTATAAACATTGCATGCTTCTTTTCATGATTCTTTTCCCAATAAATTCTCATTTGCAAAATCCACAGAATATCATCTCAAAACTTAATTATCTTCATTCTAAATGCACTTAATTCAATCAAAGTCTATATACAACTTTTCGTTGCCATCTTTCGATGGTTTTTTTTTCCTTTCCTTTACTACCAAGCAATTTATATAAAAATCAAAAGAGGCAACTTTAGTCATTTTTTACCATCATCCACGCAAAATTTGGCATCAATGCATAAATAGAAAAGTAAAAGTGCCAAAATAGTCATCTTACTGATTGTAGGAGGTCATTTTAGTGTAAGAATTCATAAAATTGTCAATTTAATCCCATAATCTTTTAATATGGGCTGAAATATTAACCGCAAATGACTATTTCAACTTTAATTTAAAGAGTCTGGGGACTAATTAGACAGTTCTATAAACTTTGGGACTAAAATGTCTTCATGTAAACGATTAGAATACTTCTTTTTCAATATTAGATGCTTTGTGACCCGTGAGTTTCTTTTACAGCACATTCTTATTTAATATGAGATGCTTGTGAGCTTCTTTTTCAACACATTCTTATTCAATATTATTGCTCGACAGTAGCTCTAGCACTGCTCAAACAACATAGGGATGTAGCGACTCGTAATCTTTTATTTTTGTGTTGGACTATTATATATCATGAGGAAATAGGGGTATTTACATACGTATTACCCAATTCCTTTGTAATTACATATCTAACACCTGAACTTTACTTTATAGATTTATACCACCAAATTTTTCGAATAACATAAAAAATACCAGTATTTTAACTTTTCAAAAGTGAAATACACGTTTTCATGCATAGGTAAGGTGGCATATTTGTAAAAATTGAACTTTAGGTGTTAGATATGTAAATACATAATAATTTAGTGCTATGTATGCAAATCTTCCTAGGAAATATTGAGGCTTTATTGTGGAGATAATTTCCTAGTACATTGTTTCCTGGGTTTGTATTGGTTTGGTGAAAGGCTGCATTGTCACATTGGCATGGTTATGGGTGGGATTTGACTTATTGAATTAGTTCCTTGGTCCGGTTTGTATCAAGACAGTTTGCCTATATTATTGTGCAATCTTTTCTAAATTTCTGATTTTATTCTTTATAAATTAAATATCTTATTCCTCAGCCCATTAGACAGTTCGTAGGCGAAGCGTGGAAGATCTGATTATGGAAAATAAATTCTTTTATTTAATGAAGGTTTTGATCAATTGCTGATTCATTTGTTGTGTTTTTACGAGGATAGATCGAGGCTTTAGCTTAGATTGGTATATCTTGATACAGCTTTGAAATAATCAGAGGTGTGCTGAGAGTATTTATTAGAAGTTAATTCTTCACAATGCTATGTTGTCATGTTTTACCTCAAATTTGTGATTTAGTCTGGGCTTTTTTGGTTGCCTTAGCAAAAGTTCAGTGGCACTTGTAGTAGCCCGATTATTATGAAGTTGATTGGATGGTATATCTTGATACTGCTTTGAAATAATCAGAGAAGTGCCGAGAGTATTTCTTAAGAGTTAATTCTTCCCAATGCTATGTTGTCATGTTTTACCTCAAATTTGTGATTTAGTCTGGGCTTTTTTGGTTGCCTTAGCTAAAGTTCAGCGGCACTTGTAGTAGCCCGATTATTATGAAGTTGGTTGGATGGTTTGATTCTTTTTTCAAGCAATTTTTATTTGGAAGTTTTTCATCCATTCCACTTAATTCCTAATAATTAACTTATCTAACTCCTAAACTTCAAATTTTACATACATACTACCTAAACTATGCATAAAAAGGTGTATTTCACTTCTTAAAAGTTGAAATGGTGGTATTTTTGATGTTATATGGAAGATTTGGGTGTTATAAATATTAGAAGTAAAATTTAGGTTTTAGATGTGTAAATACGTAGAAATTGCTTGGTATGTATGTAAATTCCCCTTTTAATATTTATTAATTTGCATAGAAATTAACTGTATTCGGTGTTGTTTCTGTCACATAAAATCAAATTCAAATCCATTGTGTAGTAGATAAGTGAATAGTCTCCCATAATTTCATGGTTTAATTTGAAAATTCTTCGACATTCCTTTTTTAGGCTTTATTGTTTAGACTATCCGTGCCAAAAGTTCAGGTTTGTTTTGCTAAAATTGTGTTTTAGTTAGTCATTGAGTTAATGCAGTCACTGATTCTATCAGAAGATACATGGCCAATATTTTGTAAGTTTTTATTGATGTGTCAAGCGTGCACCATGAAGGCTTCTTTGTCTGGTTCGGACAAAGGCTTTTATAATTTTCTTCGCCTATCTCTGTTCTGCTCCTTGTTTTTTAGGGGCATTCATGTACATGCCGCATATGTATTTACATACTTAACGTCTAAATTTTATGTTTTTACATTTATACTATCTAAATCATTCATTTGACATAAAAATACTGTTATTTTAACTTTCGAAAGGTGACATAAACACTTTCATGCCAGGTATGGGGGCAAGGTGCTATAAATGTAATCATTTAGTAGTTAGATATGTTGATGCACAGGATTTGAGCGGTATGTATGTAAATTTTCCTTTTTTAAATATAAAATATTTAATTTTACGAGTGGCTCACTGTCTGTGTTAGCTGTGTCTTGTAAAACTTCATGCCTGGTGGTATTTAACTGTGATGTTGATGATGGAAGCAAAGGAATATCTCAAACATATTTTGAATGTCTTTCTTAGCTTCAAGTTATAATCAGAAGCCATTCAGAATCCTTCTTCACTAAATGCACTCTTTTTTCATATATATTTTTAGTATTTTTTTTTAATGCTTCTATGGATTCACATATCTAACACCAAAACTTCAATGTTTACATTTATGCCACCTCTTTTCCAATACATGTAAAATATTTCTCTCTTTGCATTTTGGCAGGAGGGTGAAACTTCTATCACTCGAGGGATGTTCGAAGATAACAACAGAGGGTCTGGAATCAGTATTATTATCATGGAATGATTTGCAGAGCCTCACAATAATCTCTTGCAACGGTATAAGGGACGATGAAGTCAGTCCAGCCCTTTCAGGCCTTTTCTCCATCCTCAAACAATTCAGGTGGCGACCGGACTCCAAATCCGTTCTTTCCATGAATCTCCAGGGAACTGGAATGGGGAAGAAAGGCGGAAGATTTTTCAGAAGATTCCGTGGCTGAACATATCTCCATTTATTTAAAAGACTTTGCCATCAAAATAGCCTGATTGGGAATACGAGGTTTCAAAATCTTGATCGAAGAATGTTGGATGAGTTCAGGCTGAACGTTGGCCGGAGTTATGATATCCTTTACTTGCTGAAAAGCACACAATTCTGTGCTTGTTGATCTGGTAGAGCATGATAGTTTCGTTGTTGCTGCTGTTGCAGTTAGGTAGCTGGAAAAGCGAACTGTTGCTTCAAAGAAGGTTTTATTCATCTTCCATCTAATTCTTGCAGAAATGGTATCTTTAAAGATAGATTTTTCTCATTCATTTTTTATATATGTTTCAGGCAGCTTGTTTAGCCTAATAGCCCAAACTTCTTAATTAATAATGCAGATGAATAGTAATGAACAGATTAATCTAACCAGTTTAAAATTGAAGTTATCATTCTAAATGTTTGAAATAAAGCTGTGAAATCCACTCATAAATATCACCATGGCTATAGGTACACATAACTTAGAACAATCACTTGGAGTAAATGTTGTTCTTTGCCATTTCTCAAAATGGGACTAAAAGAAAAAAGGAAAAAATAAAAATTATATTTTTATGTGACTTGTGAAGAGTATATTTATAAACTAATTATTAGAAGATTTACATGCATATCACTCCATGCCTATGTATTTGTTTTGAAACTTAAATTTTAGTTGTTAATTATATATACATGTCACCTTATCTATGCATTCAAAAGTGAAATACATCTTTTATATTTGTTTATTAGTTTTTTTTAGTTAATTTTTTATTAAGTATAAATTCCATGATAGTTTCTTAATGCGAATGATATGAAATAAAAAAAAAGTAATTCTAATTATCTTTTTAATCATAAATTATTTAAATTAAGTTAGATTTTTAATTATAATTTTAATTTTTTATTGCAACAATTTGCATGAAAATATAAGTAATTACAAGAATGTTAGAACGGGCGAATTAAAATAGTACTTATTGTTTGTCTTTAAGCACTGTAATGTGTATATAATTTATTCTTTTGAGATGGCTCTGGCGAGGTGATGGATAATGGTTCAATGATACAGTTACTCTAAAGTCAATCTTTCTATCAAAATGTATTTCACTTTTTTATATAAGAAATATCTTGAAAAAATTTTAAATCATCGCTTATGGTCTCACATGAGAATTATTTAGATTTTCTTGAAAAAATTATATTTTGCACCGCTTTCAAACTTCTCTTTTTTTTTTTTTTTTGCTTTGACTCGTGGAAAAAATTTGCGTACGTAAGATGTATGCAGTGATGCGGAAGTTATATGGGCGTTATATTGACATTATATTCCCGTTATATCTCTTGTAACCTCTATATAACATATTTGTAACCTACCTGAATGTACAAATAAGTTACACGCTTCTGTTTTCACATATTTGTAAGTTACATATAAGTTATATGGAGATAGTTTTATGGAGATTACAAGGGATATAACACGAACATAATGCCAATGTAACGCTCATATAACTTCTATTATGTACGCAACGCTGCGTACGTCTTACACAAATTTTTTCCCTGACTCGTTAGATTGTTGGTGTCTTGTTAATCATCGTAAATCACGAGTGCTGTTCTATATACTTTCTATTTATAATATGAGCCTCAATATCGGTGACGTTGGATAACTCTGGCCTTTAATGGTAGCAGAAAACAAGATCTCTAAAAAAATAAAAAATTAGAAATAACCAAAATTTTTAAAATTAAAAATTGATTAAGAAAATACTGCATCCTTTGATGTCCTATATTACAATGTGTCATCAAATTTTCTTAAATATGCTGACCATAATTTCAAAATTTAAATAAATAATATCCTTATTTATTTTAAAATTTTCAAAACTAGTGTGTGTATTTGAAATAAGTATATTATAATTTTCAAAGCTATTGCAATTAGTAGACGCTATCAAAAACATTTATTCAGAATAAACTAATTGACATCACTGCAATTTTGAAGTTTATATGGACAAATAAATAATCTCATTAAAAGTTCAATTCCAAAAAAAAAAAAAGATAGCCCAAAAACTAATAAAAAATACTTTTTTAGCATGTAGAAAGATTTGCGATAGTAGAATAATAATTTAGTGTTGGACAAAGATCAAACAAACACTCAAGCAAGTAAAATGATAGGTAGAGACAACAAAAGTTTTGATATGAAAAGTCTGGTGTATTCATTCATTTTTCTTTTCATTTTTAAATGAGTTGTTAGTTTGTCCATCGTCGTATATTTTCCTTTTCTGAATGAGTTTCTTCCAAATCATGTTAATGATCAGAAGAAAAGAGGAACAAAAAAAATTTGACATACAATAAAGACAACCAACAAGAAAAAGAAAATGTGGGGGAGCCTACCTGCAGTAAACTTTGCAAATATATGTTAAGTATTTTTGTCTAAACATGATCAGCAGAAACACCTTAGACCAATATCCACGAAAGAATATCTACGTAGACTACCCAGAACTAAAGATTCAAGTGTGTTTACCTGTTATGAGATCAGAGAGCTTTCAAAGGGCGTATCTCATTTGATTAATTACATCTTGGGGGCTAGCCAAAAATACTCTTGATACAAATGAGTTTTGCATACATTAGTGGTGACGACTAGCACAAAGCTATCAAATGAAGGTTATTTCACATGAGAACACTTCTATGCTTTCAAAGCTCCTGCTAGGCCACGTGGCAAAGAGTGGGTCTCTCACGGTCCCACATTAGTAACAAACTCATGAGTATACAAAGCCTGCAAAATAACTGAGTCATCCCATCGGAGAATCTCGATAAGTCAAAGCATTCCCATACCATAAAGACAAAGGACAAATCGCTGCATCCAAAACAGAAGAAAACTCATCAGTAATTGGGTCACCCAGATGATACCAACAAATGCAAAAAGAGCAACTAGGCTCAATAGGGGTGGTGAAAGGATGGGAGGAGTAATCTCTAGAAGGTAGAGGTAGTCGCATCATGGTACCACAAACTCGTAATCCTAAGTTACTAGGACCTCAATTCTACCTAGTTCTGAAGGTAGTCGACCAAACACGTTTAGAATTCCCCGGTCAGCAATCCATGAATTGTGTGTCCACATGTATCTCGATAGCCCTAAGGTCAAATGAATAAAACTCTATCCTATGACTATCCAATGAAGCTCCAATAGGTGAACTTAACCTGTCGAATTGGCGAGGATGTCGCTAGAAAGAAGAGAAAGAGAGGTTCAGTTACAAACATAAAAACACTCCCAACAAAAGGACTTACACCCCATCTGGGTCAAGGAAGCCACTAACGACCTAAGTGCACTGGACAATCATCTAAGTAGAAATCTATGTTAAGTTAGTCGGGTTGGAAAAGCACGAAGGCTTCTTCTTAGGATATACAAATGATGCAACTATCGAGAATGATCCTTAAATATTGTGGAGGCTCTATTATATGACTTGAGTTATGCTCATGCTATGCAACTAATTTTAAATATGGTCCTGCAGACTAGTGTCAACTGGCCAACTTGCCAAGCATATGCGACCAAAAATCTACGACCACCTCACAAAATTGACCTATCAAAAGGCATATGGTCGTGTCGACTAGTGTGGACTGACTAACTCGCTTCCTGTGGGTGACCAAACCCACAACACCTATCAATATCTACTCTCAGGGTCAGCTAAGAAAGAAAACGCAGAGGGTTTTAAGAAAGCTTATCACCATGGAGGTTAATTGACGTTCTAAGCTCGTGTCCTATACGAAGCTCTCCTAACAGTAGGAGAGAAGCCCAGCCAAGATTTTCCCTAAAGTAAGAGTTTCACCTTAACCAACATAGGATGAAGGTCTCATTCCAAAGTTGAGATCGTGGCTTGTCGGAACCACCCCCACCACCACCCACCAAAGGTAGGATGAAGCTTTCTTAGATGTAATCCCCATAAGGTTCATCGGAGAAGAAGAAGGAGAGGAAGGGAACCAACGTTGTAGTTCTTTTCTTCAGGATGAAGAAGTGCCTTCCTCAAATCCCTTTGGTGCAAGAGATTTTCCCCTAAGGCACCTCCAAGGTCTCTAAGGGAAGAAGAAGCTCTCACACTCTCCCTCGTGTTCTCTCAAGTGCCCTTCCAAGAAAGTTTTTTCAAGCACTAGAGAGGAAGTTCCGTCTAGCTCTCATAAAATCTGGAGAAGATGAAGTAGCTCTCCCTCAAAAAATCCCCAACCAGGCGGAAGAATGGAGAAGAAGCCCCTCCCTTTGGTTACTCTTCCTTTTTTGCTGATATTTCATGTGTTTTTCCATCGTTCCATAGGTTCCAAGTGCTCAAAATGGACACCTAGCCATCTCCAAACTCCCCATGCAAAATATACCTTGATTATTCCTTAATCAAGAATTTTTGGCTACTTAAGGGTATTTTCCAACTGGGTGAGCGGAGCTTTCGAGGACAGAAATCGGAAAGGTCAAGAGAGCATGCATGGTCACGCCCAAGGCCAGACACAATTTTGTTGAACTCTCGGTTTGAGCGGCGTGATCATGACGTCCGGGGTGATCTAGGCACTTTTTGGGAGCTCGCATCGTGGGCATGTCAAATTCAGGTGTGGTCACGTCGGACCCTCCACAAGCACAGGCCTCCGGAAAAGTTGGGGGGGGGGGGGCCCTTTGTTTGAGACCCCAAAACTAAACATGAGTACAAAATTACCCTTGGACTTCTATAAAGGACACAAATGCGTCTCAAGGCTCCAGGAAGGCATTTTGCATGTGTTTTGTATGACAAATAGATGCCAACACCTGAAAATGAAAAAAATTATGGGGCCTAGCCGGTTGAAATAATTTACTATGTAATTATGAGTACACCTATCTACTCTTCTTTTGGGTTGTGGAAAATGAAACTAAGAAGTTGATGTATAATAATCGTAATGGGCCGCAAAGGCCGTAGTCTTTTTTTATGGATAGAGTAGTCTGTCGTGAATGTTATAGACAACAATTATAACACTAGCTTGTCATACAGGTTGTAGTTGAAAGCCGCGGTAATAATTAATCACGTGTGGGTCGTAAATGGTTTCTTTATGAGCATTGTTTGGCCACATAGGTCGTGGTATGCAGCTGCAGGAGTTGTGAGCCATATAGGTGAACAGCTGGTCACATACGTCGTAGTGGCAAGCTGCGATAACGTTCGTATGTCATATAGGCTAGATTTGGGAGCTATATGAGTTGTGGATCACGTTGGCCGTAGTTCTTTATGTAAGCTATAGTGGTGAGCTGTGAAAATATTTGTAGGCCATAGAGCTTGGAGTTGGGTGTTGCATGAGTTGTAGACCATGTAAGTTGTAGTTGGTCATGTAGGCTGTAGTGGTGAGCTACAAAAAAAGATTTTCAGGAGTTAGAGGACACAAATGCGTCTCAAGGCTCCAGGAAGGCATTCTGCATGTGTTTTGTATGACAAATAGATGCCAACACCTGAAAATGAAAAAAATTATGGGGCCTAGCCGGTTGAAATAATTTACTATGTAATTATGAGTACACCTATCTACTCTTCTTTTGGGTTGTGGAAAATGAAACTAAGAAGTTGATGTATAATAATCGTAATGGGCCGCAAAGGCCGTAGTCTTTTTTTATGGATAGAGTAGTCTGTCGTGAATGTTATAGACAACAATTATAACACTAGCTTGTCATACAGGTTGTAGTTGAAAGCCGCGGTAATAATTAATCACGTGTGGGTCGTAAATGGTTTCTTTATGAGCATTGTTTGGCCACATAGGTCGTGGTATGCAGCTGCAGGAGTTGTGAGCCATATAGGTGAACAGCTGGTCACATACGTCGTAGTGGCAAGCTGCGATAACGTTCGTATGTCATATAGGCTAGATTTGGGAGCTATATGAGTTGTGGATCACGTTGGCCGTAGTTCTTTATGTAAGCTATAGTGGTGAGCTGTGAAAATATTTGTAGGCCATAGAGCTTGGAGTTGGGTGTTGCATGAGTTGTAGACCATGTAAGTTGTAGTTGGTCATGTAGGCTGTAGTGGTGAGCTACAAAAAAAGATTTTCAGGAGTTAGAGAAATTTGATGCATCCTAAGTACAGTGGTTATAAAAATTATTATAGTGTGTGTTTTCACACGACTTCGAAAAACATCATTGCATCATATGCATAGCAAGTCATTGTACGATATTCGGGTGCGTTGTTACACTATGTCGTTACATTATCTTTGGGGTGTATTATTACACCATCTTCTGGATGTGTTGTCTTGTAGGATGTTTTATTTCTCCACAAGGTTGGTTGTTACTCCACAAAATGTTTCATTATTCCGCAGTGTACCCTGAAGCTCCATTACTCCACAACATACCTTAAGGTTCCATAGCACACGTCGTGATTCTGCAAGGGCTTCATTGCAATGAGTATGGGGCTGTCGACGATGGTTGACTGTTATCGGCGATTTTAGGAGTGTTTTGTTTGCTAGGAACACTGGATCTCAGCTCCTCCTCCAAGTTTCGAGCTTCATCGGTTTGAGGTCTAGATCCCCTTTCATGAAGGAGGTAGGGCTCAATTTATAATATGAGAGAGGTCTCCCTATAAATAAGAAATGAATCTAAGCCATTATATTGATGACCTAGAGAGATTCCCTCAACTAACATTTGAGTGCTAAAACATTGTTAGAATTGAGTGATCTTGTGCTCGTTGTATTCATCTTATCGAGATACTCGATCGACTATAATTTTGTCAAAATTGGAATATATTTATCATTCCAATTGAGAACCAGAAGCTTCCAAAAATCACTTAATGGCTTGACCTCTGTTTGATTTGAATATGATTAGATCAATTTTAGTTTCATTGTGTTCATCTCATCAAGCTATTCTGTTTGAATATAAATTTGTTGAGCTCGAAGTTCTAAATTATTCTTAATTAGAATTTTGAACATTTCTTACTAAAAAAAAATGTTCCAAAATTCAATGTAAATCATCTCGAAATTCATGCTAAATGATAAATTTAATAATTGCGCATCACTTTTCAACAATAAATTATTTAATTATACAAACTAATCCAATTGACATGTTCTTATTCATTGACCTGTTATTCAAAAAATCCATATTTGAATTTACTAAGATAAATTGATAAT